TCCTGCCTAACTAATTTATTAACCTTCTTCAGTAAAGCTTTTGAGGTCGTTGATCATGGTAAAGAATTCGAAAATGTTTATTTAGATTTTAGTAAGGCTTTTGATAGAGTACCGCACCAGAGACTTAAAAAAAGTGGCAGCTCATGGCATTGGGGAAAAAGTGCTGTCATGGATTGAGTCATGGCTCACTCATAGGAAGCAGAGAGTATGCTTAAATGGGGTTAAATTCGAGTGGGGATCTGTAACAAGTGGCGTAGCACAGGGATCAGTCTTAAGCCCGTTGTTATTTATAACATATATCAATGATGAGGGTATTGCTAGTGATGTGACACAAAGATAGGTAGGATGATTGATTCAAACTTGGATGTTAGGGAGCTTCAGGAGGATTTAGACAAACTCTATTCTTGTTCAGAAAAGTGGCAGATGCAGTTCTATGTAGATAAATGCAAGGTTCTTAAGCTCGGGAGTGTCCATAACCCTAGCACTTATAAGTTAAATAATATAAGACTTCGCCATACAGATTGTGAAAAGGACTTGGGGGTTATGGTGAGCAGCAACCTTAAACCAAGACAGCAATGCTTAAGCGTACGTAATAAGGCAAATAGATTATTGGGATTTATATTAAGAAGTGTAAGCAACAGAAGTCCAGAGATTATACTGCAGCTTTATACATCATTACTAAGGCCTCGCCTAGATTATGCAGCTCCGTTCCGGTCTCCATATTACAGATGGACATAAATTCGTTAGAAAACATTCAGCATAGAATGGCTAAATTAATTCATAGCATTAGAAATCTTCTTATGAAGAAAGACTGAAGACTCTTAAATTACATTCACTTGTTAGACAAAGAATGAGGGGAGACATGATCGAAGTGTATAAGTGGAAGATAGGTATTAATAAAGGGGATATTAATAAGGTCTTGAGGATGTCTCTCCAAGAGAGAACCCGCAGTAATGGATTTAAATTAGATAAGTTTAGATTTAGAAAGAACATAGGAAAGTATTGGTTTGGAAATAGGGTAGCTGATGAGTGGAACAGTCTACCTAGTTGGGTTATTGAGGCTAGGAGTTTGGGTAGTTTCAAATTTAGATTGGATAAATATATGAGTGAGAGGGGTTTGATTTGAGTGGGACTTGCAAATGAGTGGATAGAGTTATTAGAGCTTATTTCTTAGGTAGCACTGAAAACTGAGCTGGGCAAATGTTTTGTTAGTGGGATGGATTGTAAAGGACCTGCCTAGTATAGGCCAACAGGCCTGCTGCAGTGATCCTCCTTCCTTATGTTCTTGTGTACATTTCCTTCTTTGCTTCCACGGACAAAATTCTTTGTCTTCACAGACTCCCAAGTGCACCACTCATCCTTTTCCCCTTATCAATTCTATGATTCACCTCATCCTTCATAGACCCATCTGCTGACACGTCCACTCCTAAATATCTGAATACATTCACTTCCTCCATACCCTCTCCCTCCAATCTGATATCCAATCTTTCATCACATAATCTTTTCATTATCCTCATCACCTTACTCTTTCCTATATTCACTTTTAATTTTCTTCTTTTACTTTTTTTTTTTTTTTATCATCACACTGGCCAATTCCCACCAAGGCAGGGTGGCCCGAAAAAGAAAAACTTTCACCATCATTCACTCCATCACTGTCTTGCCAGAAGGGTGCTTTACACTACAGTTTTTAAACTGCAACATTAACACCCCTCCTTCAGAGTGCAGACACTGTACTTCCCATCTCCAGGACTCAAGTCCGGCCTGCCGGTTTCCCTGAACCCCTTCATAAATGTTACTTTGCTCACACTCCAACAGCACTCACTTTTAATTTTCTTCTTTTACATACCCTACCAAATTCATCTACCAACCTCTGCAACTTCTCTTCAGAATCTCCCAAAGCCACAGTGTCATCAGCAAAGAGCAACTGTGATAACTCCCACTTTGTGTTTGATTCTTTATCTTTTAACCCCACACCTTTTGCCAAGACCCTCGCATTCACTTCTCTTACAACCCTATCTGTAAATATACTGAACAACCACGGTAACCACGGTAACATCACACATTCTTGTCTAAGGTCTACATTTACTGGGAAATAATCTCCCTCTCTCCTACATACTCTAACCTGTGCCTCACTATCCCCGTAAAAACTCTTCACTGCTTTCAGTAACCTACCTCCTATTCCATACACCTGCAACATCTGCCACATTGCCCCCCCTTATCCACCCTGTCATATGCCTTTTCCAAATCCATAAATGCCACAAAAACCTCTTTACCCTCATCTAAATACTGTTCACCTACATGTTTCACTGTAAACACTTGGTCTACACACCCCCTACCTTTCTTAAAGCCTCTTTGTTTATATGTTATATCATACTCTCCATCTTACTCTTCATACTTTCAATAATGATTCTACTATACACTTTACCAGGTACAGTATACTCAACAGACTTTTTTTTTTTTTCAACAAGTCGGCCGTTTCCCACCGAGGCAGGGTGGCCCAAAAAAAAAGAAAGAAAATCCCCAAAAAGAAAATACTTTCATCATCATTCAACACTTTCACCACACTCACACATTATCACTGTTTTTGCAGAGGTACTCAGAATACAACAGCTTAGAAGCATATACGTATAATGATGCAAAACATATCCCTCCAAACTGCCAGTATCCCAAACCCCTCCTTTAAAGTGCAGGCATTGTACTTCCCATTTCCAGGACTCAAGTCCGACTACATGAAAGTAACCGGTTTCCCTGAATCCCTTCACTAAATATTACCCTGCTCACACTCCAACAGATCGTCAGGTCCCAAGTACCATTCGTCTCCATTCACTCCTATCTAACACGCTCACGCACGCTTGCTGGAAGTCCAAGCCCCTTGCCCACAAAACCTCCTTTACCCCCCCTCTCCAACCCTTTCGAGGACGACCCTTACCCCGCCTTCCTTCCCCTATAGATTTATATGCTTTCCATGTCATTCTACTTTGATCCATTCTCTCTAAATGACCAAACCACCTCAACAACCCCTCTTCTGCCCTCTGACTAATACTTTTATTAACTCCACACCTTTTCCTAATTTCCACACTCCAAATTTTCTGCATAATATTTACACCACACATTGCCCTTAGACAGGACATCTCCACTGCCTCCAACCGTCTCCTCGCTGCTGCATTTACCACCCAAGCTTCACATCCATATAAGAGTGTTGGTACTACTATACTTTCATACATTCACTTCTTTGCCTCCATAGATAACGTTTTTAGACTCCACATATACCTCAACGCACCACTCACCTTTTTTCCTTCATCAATTCTATGATTAACCTCATCCTTCATAAATCCATCTGTCGACACGTCAACTCCCAAGTATCTGAAAACATTCACTTCTTCCATACTTCTCCTCCCAAATTTGATATCCAATTTTTCTTTATCTAAATCATTTGATACCCTCATCACCTTACTCTTTTCTATGTTCGCTTTCAACTTTCTACCTTTACACACATTCCCAAACTCATCCACTAACCTTTGCAATTTTTCTTTAGAATCTCCCATAAGCACAGTATCATCAGCAAAAAGTAACTGTCAATTCCCATTTTGAATTTGATTCCCCATAATTTAATCCCACCCCTCTCCTGAACACCCTAGCATTTACTTCTTTTACAACCCCATCTATAAATATATTAAGCAACCATGGTGACATTACACATCCCTGTCTAAGACCTACTTTTACCGGAAAGTAGTCTCCCTCTCTTCTACACACCCTAACCTGAGCCTCACTATCCTCATAAAAACTCTTTACAGCATTTAGTAACTTACCACCTATTCCATATACTTGCAACATCTGCCAGACTTATTCCCCTATAATTTTTGCACTCTCTTTTGTCCCCTTTGCCTTTATACAAAGGAACTATGCATGCTCTCTGCCAGTCCCTAGGTACCTTACCCTCTTCCACACATTTATTAAATAATAGCACCAACCACTCCAAAACTATATCTCCACCTGCTTTTAACATTTCTATCTTTATCCCATCAATCCCAGCTGCCTTACCCCTTTTCATTCTACCCACTGCCTCACAAACTTCTCCCACACTCACAACTGGCTCCTCCTCACTCCTACAAGATGTTATTCCTCCTTCCCCTATACATGAAATCACAGCTTCCCTATCTTCAGCAACATTTAACAATTCCTCAAAATATTCCCTCCATCTTCCCAATACCTCTAAATCTCCATTTAATAACTCTCTTCTCCTATTTTTAACTGTCAAATCCATTTGTTCCCTAGGCTTCCTTAACTTATTGATCTCACTCCAAAACTTTTTCTTATTTTCAACAAAATTTGTTGATAACATCTCACCCACTCTCTCATTTGCTCTCTTTTTACATTGCTTCACCACTCTCTCAACCTCCTTTTCTCTCCATATACTCTTCCCTCCTTGCATCACTTCTGCTTTGTAAAAACCTCTCTTATGCTAACTTTTTCTCCCTTACTACTCTCTTTACATCATCATTCCACCAATCGCTCTTTTTCCCTCCCGCACCCACTTTCCTTTAACCCTTAAACAGTCCAAACAGATCGACGTTCAAATTCGTATTGCTACAAAAGTAGATCTACTTTTTTTTTACATATTTTCAAATATAACAAAAAAAAAAGTAGATCAAAGTTTTTTTTACACATTTTCAAATGTAAAAAAAACAAAAAGAAGGTCTACTTTTTTTACATACTTTCAAATGTTGAAAAAACGTATATATACGTTTGGACCGTGTACGGGTTAACCTGAAACTTCTGCTGAACACTAACACTACATTCTTAAACCTACTCCATACATCTTCAACCCCATTACCTATACTCTCACTAGCCCATCTATCCTCCAACAGTCATGGGTATGAGACAACAAACACCTTTCCCTTCAAAACCCTACTAATGGGAATAAATGATGTCCATAGTCTGATTATTCAGAAAGAGTACCACTGTGCCAATGAGACTTTTAAAATTAGCATTATACATACTCTTGAAAATGCTTGCAGCATTCCCTGCTTGATATTTTTGGTAATGTTAGTGGCAAGATAATCTCGACAAGTGATCATTGCCATTGCCGCTGTGAGGTTTCGAACCATATGGTGTGTCGCAGCACGCATCCGAGATTCATCTGGATCTAGAGCAAAGTCCTTCTTAATGATGTGCTCAGCAGTGGTGATGGCAATCTTGATGCTACGCTCCATTACTGCAGCAACAATTTCTTGGACAGCCAAGTCTACAGCATGACGAACTAACTGTTTTAGCTGTGCATTATTTGCAATACCACAAACCTGCAAAGCAAATAATATACAGATGAACAATGTTAGTCACCTTATACATACATCCTAAGCAGCTTTTACAAGGCTACATTACATGCAGAGAAATCAGTAAAAGTAAATATACAAGCAAATACACAAAGAATTATATCAATAATGCTTTGTTTTGAACTGAAACTTCTTTTTCCTGGGAGAGAGAGACTTAAAAAAAAAAAAAAAAAATTCTCTAGATTTCACAAATTGGTAAACCCTTAGAGGTACATCCAAAATCAAAGAAAAACTTTTAATACATTACTTTGGTTACCTTACGTTTAACAACTCCCAACTGTTTGCACTGGTGTCAAAATATGAAAAGAATGAACACATGAGCACATCATAAGAGTAAATAATCAATAAAGAAAAGTACACTTATGAGAAATAAAAATGTTTAAGTGAGAAACAATGTTACTTTAAAAGAAAGGGGAAGCAATGAAAAACTGAACAGACACCTGTTCTGTGGGCTTTATCTTTAAATATGACAAATATTAAAACAGACAACTAGTGTTGAGAAAAGACAATTGGAGCAATCATGGTAAGGCTGCTGTTAACTGCTTATTTGGCTGCAGTGTATACAGTACATAGAAAAATGTGATTGCTAATTTCATGGCAGTGATCTGAGTGTTGTAACAAGTCTAAAGAAAAGTGAACCAGACCCCTGCCACAAATCTACCTTAGAGTTCTAAATGACATCAGTCGTGTACAAAGTCATAGGATTTAATACACCCTGGACATCACCAAAGAAATTTTTCTTTAGTAAGTGGTCAGGTAGGAGTATAAAGTCAGAGGAAGGTCATCTGTAAATCTGAGCTAGTGTTGCATGGCATGCTTGTATGTCTTTTATTAATTTCTGATAATGTAGCTTTCAAAATGATGGCCATGCTGATAAGCTACTGAGCTGTGTAACTGCTCTTATTGAACAAGAGAGCTAGTGTCACTGAACTGGTTAATAGCACTATAGTCCCTCACCTGGGGTTCTGTTCTTGGTACACTAGACATCAAACAAACTTTCCCCAATGCTCCACATACTAAGGGGTGATACCCAGGAAGTGCCAGAGGCTATCAGTCTTATTTATTACTCTCACAGCTCCCTCTAATCTTACCCACGTCGAGCAAACAACTAGCTGAGTTAGAGCACTTGCAAAGTCCTAGATTAATGATATACAGTGTCTACAAAGCCTTTTCCAGTTTCAATTTCTTTTGTCAACAAACCAGTAACCTATGAAAATACAATTTTCTGCATACTGGAAATGGGAAGTACAATGCCTGCACTCTAAAGGAAGGGTTTGGGATATTAGCAGTTTGGAGGGATATGTTGTGTATCTTTATACGTATATGCTTCTAAACTGTTGTGTTCTGAGCACCTCTGCAAAAACAGTGATTATGTGTGAGTGAGGTGAAAGTGTTGAATGATGATGAAAGTATTTTCTTTTTGGGGATTTTCTTTCTTTTTGGGTCACCCTGCCTCGGTGGAAGACGGCTGACTTGTTGAAAAAAAAAAAAATAAAGTTAATACTTTTAGTAGAGATGTGCCAAAGTATTAGTGTTAGGGAGTATCCACTACTTCTGATGGTATTAGTATACATAGGCATCAACCAGTTTTGATGGTGTGGGTATCAGCCTAAACTTGAGTATCGGTATCATCTAAACCCTACATTTCTTATACAGCTGCACAGCTGTCAAATCTATCTAGTCTCAACAAGTGCACCCCTAGCTGACTGTGCCACATCTAATTTGTAGTCTAGTTCCTTTCATGTTTTGGCCAGCAAATTCAATACAACTTTCCAATGATACCACATATTCTAGCACTTTAGTGTTTTAATATCAATTGCTGGTTTTTGGAAAACAATCTTTGCAAACCCCCACAGGAAGAAGAGGTCTAAAAGTAAGATATCAGTGTAGTCAGGAATCATCTGATAGGGCCATCATGCCCAATCCATCTGCTACTGTATGCAGAGAAATGCATTTTCATGTTTTTTATCATACTGTTATAAATTTTTGAAATAAAACAAGTCCTCTTTTGTGTAATGTACAACATACAGTGTTGTACATTACACAATCTACGGTGCTTCTACCTACAGTGACGTTCATTATGACTACACACGTCTGCCCAAGATATAAGGGTTAAAGAAGCATTGTACCATATGCTAATGGTATTAATGTTTGTTATGTTGAGCTTCGCTCTGCTGCTAAGGAGCTATCAAACTTGCTAACTCATATGAATGGTTCAGTAATCACTATGGCTTGGTTAGCAAAAACTTATAAGACTGGTAGTGCATCTAGGAACAAAGTTCAGCCATTTGGATTAATGTTAAATATCCTGATATATGAGAAGCTCCTTTTATCTCAGCAATACATGCTGATAAGACTGGTCTCTCTTGACAATCATACCTACCCACCAGACCTCAAGCTCAGCAAAGACTGCTTCTTGGTACAATATTATGCTGTACTAATGTCAACAATGTGTACTGTCTGAAACTTAAGATACAGGCAAATCAGCATGGCTACATGGTTTAAAGCACTGTATAAAAGGGCTGTCAGTCAATTATTACAAGTCTAAGTAAGAGAGACTGATTGGACAAGGATGCATTAGAAGAGTGGTTTTTCACAGATTTTGTTCTGAAGTACACATGTAGTAGCTAGAGGTCCTTGAACTGCATCCTCAAGACAACAAGGTTCCTCTCTTGCATGATAATGCAAGAGCTAAAAAAAAGTTAAGCACTACTAATGGTAAAATTAAGAGCATGTTATTGGTCCTTAATGCCATCTCAATGGTCCATCCTATGGAGGAGGAAGAAAATTTGGAAAAAGATACCAGAGGTCCATGCACATTTGAAAACATCAAGAAGTACAACCTGAAGTCTGCTATCTTCAACCTTGCAGTGTCATGGAAAGAAATGTAAAAGATAACAATAGTTAATGGCTGGAGAAAGCTGTTAAAGAATACTGATGCTGAGTTGTAATTTGAGGCCAGTGATTTTTAACAAGCCCTTCAGAGAGCGAGAGAAACAGACATTATGGAGGAAAAAGTGAGTAAATGGTTTGATGATAATGCCAATCCTGGTTACCACATAATGAGTGATGCAGAACTACAGACAAGGCTCTTGGCACCCCCATAGATGAATGGGACAGTGATAACAACAAAGAAGAGACTGAGGTTACCAAAACTGTCAAATGTACGAGATGCAACTGATATTCTCTTCACATATACTGACCTCAAGACATGAGCGAAGTGCAGGCTCATTATCCAAACTTGTGAATTCTTTCAGAATGTATCATGAGAAAGTAGCATCAATTTTACAAGCAACTGCAGCTGAATATATTTTTTTAAACCTGTTCCTTGTTCAAAGTCTCCCCAACCATCAACAAGTAGGCTTCACTCATCTACACCTCCTCAACCCTCTATGTCTCTTCAACCATACCTGGAGTTTACCTGGAGAGAGTTCCGGGGGTCAACGCCCCCATGGCCCGGTCTGTGACCAGGCCTCCTGGTGGATCAGAGCCTGATCAACCAGGCTGTTACTGCTGGCTGCATGCAAACCAACGTACGAGCCACAGCCCGGCTGGTCAGAACCGACTTTAGGTGCTTGTCCAGTGCCAGCTTGAAGACTGCCAGGGGTCTGTTGGTAATCCCCCTTATGTATGCTGGGAGGCAGTTGAACAGTCTCGGGCCCCTAACACTTATTGTATGGTCTCTTAACGTACTAGTGACACCCCTAGTGACAGAGCCTACTCAAACATTTGTGTCCTACACCATCAGCAATATTACTCTTGGAGCTCAAGAGCTCCTCTGACTTGGAATAAAAGTTATATTCTGAGTAACCACCATACACAACAGGATTACTGTAGTTTCAGCTCCTCCATCCACTAGAAAGGATAAGAAAATTGTCCTCTACTATAAATTTTTATTTTTGGGTACTGTAATTAACTGTATTTTTCTGTAACACAGTACATTCTAGGTATGTCCAGTAGTGTCATTAATGCAGTGGACTAAGTTTGCTGCATGGACATTTGTACCTGTCTGGTAATGCTTGCAATACAGTGGACCTAGTCCATTACACCAAGATTTTGCCAGACTTAAAAATCACTCTCTACTTTATGTTCTTTTATAACCTTTAAATGTTATTCTCATTATCCCTTCTTTTCCTTCTATCAGCAAGCATGGGGATCTTTAGCATTTTCAGCCTTTCATCAGAAAGTTTTTTTTTGTTTTGGTGTGGACACCATTCAGCAGCTGCATATTTAAATTGAAGTCTTATATACATTGTAAAAATTTTTTTTCAGCATCTCTCCATCCATATATTTGAAAGTTATTTGATAGTGAGTGTAACATTTGTATTTCTCTCAATTTCATTTATATGATTTCCTAATGACAATTTTGTCACAATCCATTGCAGCTTAGAGGTTATCTAAACTGTGATATCAGAGTGAGTGCTTATGGCAAAGTAGTGGCTGAATGAATGACAGTGAAAGTTTTCTTTTCTGTCAGATCACCCACCTCAGTGGGGGATGGAAGCATGTTAAAAAAAAAAAAAAAAAAATGTATTCTAAATGTAGTCTGATTTTGCTTTTTCCCATTTCTATTACATAGCACTTATCACCATTAAACTTCACTATACATGCATCACTATTTGCTCAATGTAACCAAATCATCATTTAAAGAACCCTCCTATGAACAAGCTACAGGATCTAACAAAGCGAATGACAGCTACTGAGGAAATAAGTACATAGTGAGATTTTAACCCTTTCATGATTATGACCTCACAAAATTAAAGCTTCTGACAGTGCTGTAATCATACAAAAAATGCTCTAAGATAGTTGAGAATCTTTCTAAAGGTAATGACACCAAACATGCAAAATTTTATGTATAACTTATTGAATTAAGCAGGTGGGAAGCAGGTCAGGGAGCACTTTACACATCTGTGATTTCACCCACTTTGAGGCCTACTTTAAGCCCATTCTAATTTTCAAAGGGACCCAATTCCTCAGTATTTCACTAGTATTCCTTACAATCTATTGGCCGAGTGCAAGATACTGCCTATTCAACTATTAAAACAATATTAAAGTGGCAAAAAGTCGGTAATCTGGCTAGTTTTACAGAAAACTCAACAAATTCCAATTTAAAACAAATCCACAATAAATTTAATAGTCATTTCAGCCACTAAAGCAACCTTTCCTCTGCTCATGAATCATGTCCCTAAGAATCTTATATAAATAACACTTGGCATACATTTTGAATTCATCACACACACAATTATTCTTTACCCTATTTCTCGACTAATAAAATATAACAATAAATGATTAGTCAGAGTTTAAGCTGTCCCAGTAATTCAAGCAAACCTAGCAAAAGCCCATAAAACAAACCAAGGAAGGTAGAGGAGCTTCTACTCTAAGAAAATTTCAAAAAGTATAATATTTGCACCACTTTGAAGCATCTTTCAGGCCACTTCCAGTTTCAAATAGACCAAAATCATAGTGTTACATGTGTATTTAGCTCTATCAATTGACACCCAAGAAAAAGCCAATAAAATCACGCTAGAAAATGCCTCTTAAGTTGCTATATTTTATACTGTGCACACGCACCACATTCTCATGCCCAGGCCACAATTTACTGCTCACGGCACATCTGAGGGTGCCATGATTAAGACATATATGCAACAACCACTGGTCTCAAAAACCTATATATACATGGGAGACAGTGAAAGGGTTAAGCTAGCCACAAGATCAATGCACTGAACATCACTCCTATGGAGGAATGTTTCTACAGTAGCAGACACAGTAACCAAGACAAAAATAAAGAGGAGGAATAAACATGACAGTGAAGAAATGTGTTATCCAAGCTGAAGTACCCAAAATGTAGCTTAACACAGATTATTACTACTTTATTTTTACAGCCATGGTGAGGTGCTGTACTCTTAGGAATCAAACAGTGGCTGGAAAATGGAAGGGAATCAAATTCTGTCAAAGGGAGCATAGCTCCAGTTCCTTGGCTTAAGATTCTTTCATAAAGCCACATCTCTGAATGGGGCTTAATGCAGCAAGTAGTGACCAACAATTCTTGTAAAAAGGCAAAGTGAAGAACCTCAAATCTTCCCACTTCTGGGAATGGAAAGACAAGCTACATGTCATAATTTTTCTTTACGTAAGCCACTTTTACTATGAAACGCATAACTCTTTATATGTATAAATAAATTAGGGTTTATGCAAGTCAAACACTTTCCTGCGCGATATATACACAAGAGTTTGAAGGTGATGTGGCTTTTATCGTAGTGCAATATATTACAGCAATACTTCCACATGGATATCCACACTGCACTGCTAACCTTGTTGTCTACTCCATATTCTCCATTTTCACTTTGTAATTTTCTTGAAATTTTTCTTGCTTCTATTACAATTTTTTCCTTTTTACTCTTTCACTTGAATATTAAACAAACTTTTGTCAAATGTAATAAATTTATAGCAGAACAGAAAACATGGAGTTTGTTAACTTTTCAAATATTTAAGCATTTACCTGGTGAAGACTGCTGACACACCTTCTGTACCAAATTTAATCTGCTACTTACCTGAGGTACAGAGACAGATACATGAGGATCCAGACCCCTGAGGGATGTTACGTTTATGTTTGAATAAACAAAACGTGGCTCTGAGGCAGGCTGCTGTTGAGCCTGGATAGGTGTGGGTGTGGTGGAGGGATGTGGAGGCAGGACTGTTGGGGGTGTAGGTGTGGCACCAACTGAGGAGCTCTGAGCAGTTACCGTACTTGTTTCTACAACGGGACACGGTGGCACAACTTGTGACCAGCTCGTCTTTGCTGTGCGAAGGGAGAGGAGAGAATAGTCAAATTAAAATTAGCAGTGTTAAAGGATAAATATATAAGTTATAACCATATTATACAGGACATTATAATAATGTTCAAATATAAAAAAAATTAAAAGAGATGGATGATTTTAAAACTAACATTCTCTAATATTTACTTTGAGCCTATTTTTTTTCTTTAGGAACTCCACTTGCACAGGAGTGACCAAAATCTAAAAATCTCAAAGCAGCCCTACCTAAACATGTACGTACTTTAATCCTGTTAATCATTCTTATGCAATCAAGAACATTTATCATACAAGTGCAACATTTTTCCCCAGGATGTTAGCTGTCTAATCACGACATTAAAAAATCCATCAGGGACTCAACACTGATGAAGCAAGAACTAAAGAGCACGGATGGAAATTCCACACCTAAATAAGCAACAGGTATATTAGAAAAATGGATAATAAATGGAATGAACTGAACAATAACATAGTTGAAGCAGACTCCATTCAGGGGTTCAAAATTGTTACGATAATGCTAAATCGTGTCAGTCCAAAATTAAAAGGCATGACCAAGAACAGGTGACTATCCTCATGCAAACTCAAACAGGTCATTACACACCGAAAAAGATGCAGTTTAATTACAGCCTTAACCAAATTATAAATTTACATTTAGCCCAGATCAACATGCATCATAAATTTAAACAGTTTACATATTTCATGCTGAGTGTGATACACAATAGTCAGTCAGTCAATACACCCTACTGGGTCATGGAATGTGTGATATTGCAGATTTTTTTTTATCCAAATACTTATTACTGACAATTATGTTGGCTAATGGAAACTGATAAATGCTTCATAAATTGTAGTTCTGTTGTTCAAGCTACAGCCATTGAGTCCTAGTCAGGTGAATGGGTTATGTCAGACATATGAGGTAGCAGCAGGGTGATTCAAACAATAACTTCTTGACATTAAAGAACTCTAACTAAAGATAGGATATATTACTATAACATGCTTAGAGTAAGAATATTACAATCAATCATACCTTAGACATTCAAGTTTGTGCATTCCCGACAATGATTTTAAATTTAAAAAATCACAAGTTGAGGTCATTATTACAAGAGATGTATAGGGTTATGTTCCCTGAACTCAAGACTCAGTTTTCAATATTTAAACCCCTATTATGAAATCATTCTATGGTTTTTATCAATATTAATAAAAGGCCATCCAATAACAGAATTAAACATTCAAACTACAATGTCAAAAATGCTAAAACCAAGTAAGTTAAATACAGGTAATATTTTACCACAAACCATTATGAGTTAAAATTCTAGCTATGACAGCCTTATAATATGGATTGTTTAGAGCTATGATTTGAGCTACCAGAACATTTACAAAATTTCTAAACAACCAACTTTTTATCAAAATGAAAAACATTAGAAATACAGTAGTACAGAACACTTACAACCAATTTCTTCACTGCTTACTTAGCAACTTTGTATTTGGGTGAAGGTTGGCAGTAAAATTACTGAAGGAATGTGGCACATCAGGTTGCTAACAGATCACTAAGCCTTGTTAATGTACTGGATCATTAGAAAATTAAGGTATGAATCCAAAATTCAAGCAGGAAGTCCAAAAATTAGGAGCTTAGCTCAAAACCAGGTGTGAATCAAGTGAAATCCCAAGTCTGAAAATTTGCATGTCAGGAAGTCGTAGGTTTACGAACAACTCCATGTAAATTGTAAACTTCTGTTGTAAGTTTAACTAACAGAAATCTAAAAGTATTGCATTAATAACCAACATCATTGTATCAAGTGCATCCAAAAGAATATTTTATAATTCACTTATAATGTGACCTCAATATTCATGTTTTTTTTTTTTAAATCACACTGTCCATCCCCCACCAAGGCAGGGTGACCCAAGGAAGGAAATATCCACTATCATTCATTAGTGTGACCTCAGTATTCATGGTGCTTTTTTTTTTTTTAAATCACATTGTCCATCCCCCACCAAGGCAGGGTGACCCAAGGAAGGAAACATCCACTATCATTCATTCAACAGCTGTCCTGTCAGAAGTAAATAAACATTGCCATTCAAATGCCCCTCTTAGCTGCAACATCCCCACTCCTACCTCCAGGACTAAGTCTGACTAACCAATTTTACTGAAATCCTTCATAAATGTTACTCACTATACACAAAAGAAAAAATTATTAACTTGCAAAATAGAGATAACTTCACTAACTGTTTATCTTAATTGTAAAAGAATTACGAGCACACTGGCACATACAAATTTAATGACGACTTAGTTGCTTTCATTGAGAACTTGCTTGAAAATCAAGGGAATAAAAAAAGGGGGTCCTCCACAAAGCTTCCTCTCTAAATGTTTAACATCATGAATACTATAATGACCCACAACTAGTGAAATTAATACATGTAGCTAGGATTGGTAAAGCATAGCATTATTGTAGAACCCCATATTTAATCAAACTTTCCAAATTGCATTGGCAAATTCAGGGAACAAGCAACAAGAGCTTCAGCAACAGGAAAGGAAACAATTTATTAATGGGTTAAAGAGCGAAGCCCCTCTCAGGAGGAGGCAGCTAGAGGTAGTAGAGATGTCACGTTTCAGAGCAATGTGTTGTGTGAATATACCTTCGATGAGTTCCAACAGTATGTAGAGAATTTGGAGCATGAATTAGGTGTGGGATTACCAAGAATAATCCAGAGGGCTGAGGATGGGTTGTGTAGGTGATTTAGACATTTAGGAAGGGTGGAGAAATATTGGATGACTAGGAGAGCATATAAATATGGGGTGAAAAAAAAGAAGGGGTAAGAGTCATCCTAGGATAGGTTGGAAGGAGCAAGTAAGTCCTGAGTGCTTGGGGTTTGAACACCTAACAGGCTTTGTGTGAGCAAGGTAACATTTATAAAGGGATTCAGGGAAAAAATAAGATTAGTTGGACTTTAGTCCTGGAGGTGGAGAGTAGAGTGCTTGCCTTCTCGAGAAAGGGTGGGGATCTTGCAGTTTGGAGAGCCATCTGAATCAATGTCAGTACATTTCTGGCAAGATAGTGATTGAATGAATGATGGTAAATATGTTGCCTCTTTTCTTTTGATCACTCTACCTCAGAGGGAGATGGCTGGTGTTAAAAAAAAATTATTATAGCACAAGCCCGGTAACTTAAATGCTTTGTTGGCTTTATGCAAGCAGTAAACAATCTTTAGCTTTTCCTGCTCTGATATCTCTCTTGCCCTGAACAAAGCTGTCAACACCAAACTACATTGTAAATGAGAGAGAACAAGTGATTTAAGAGTGTCACTACTGGTATTATTTCTCTTTTATTCGAAAATTTTAATTGCCTACCCTGTCACTTCTTTGGCATTCATGGCATTTGCATCTCCCAAATTTACACTTTATTGTTACTGCCATATTAATCCAAAGTTCATCTTAAGTTTGCCCAAAATGCTCTGCATATATAAAGGGGCTTTCCATATGTAAACCCAAACGTCACTTTCCTTTGTATAAACGTTGTATTATGCTGGGATAAACTATTATTTTTCCTTCTTTCTTTCAACGCACCAGATGCATCTCACCGAAGCTGGGTGACCCAAAAAGAAAAACACAAGTTTCTCTTTTCAACTTTAGTAATGTATACAGGAGAAAGTGTTACTAGCTCCTTGCTCCCAGCATTTTAGTCTCCTCTTATGACACGCATGGCTTACGGAGGAAGAATTCTGCTCCACTTCCCCATGAAGATGAGAGGAAATAAACAACAAGAACAAGAACTAGTAAGAAAATAGAAGAAAACCCAAAGAGGTGTGTATATATATGCCTGTACATGCATGTGTAGTGTGACCTAAGTGAAAGTAGAAGTAAAAAGGTGTACCTGAAATCTTGCACGCTTCCAAGACAGAAAAAAGACACCAGCAATCCTACCATTATGTAAAACAATTACAGGCTTCCGTTTTACTATTATTATTATTAACACATCGGTCGTTTCCCAGAGGCAGGGTAACCCAAAAAGAAAGAAAATTACTTTCATCATCATTTAACACTTTCACCATCACTCATACATAATCACTGCCTTTGTATAGATGCTCAGATACAACAGTTTAGAAGTCCTTCCAAACTGCCAATATCCCAAACCCCTCCTTTAAGGTGCAGGCATTGTACTTCTCATTTCCAGGACTCAAGTCTGGCTAACCGGTTTCCCTGAATCCCTTCACAAAATATTACCCTGCTCACACTCCAACAGATCATCAGGTCCCCAAAAACCATTCGTCCCCATTCACTCCTATCTAACATGCTCACGCATGCTTGCTGGAAGTCCAAGTCCCTCACCCACTAAACCTCCTTTACCCCCTCCCTCCAATCTTTTCAAGGATGACCCCTACCCTGCCTTCCTTCCCCTACAGATTTATACGCTCTCCATGTCATTCTACTTTGTTCCATTCTTTTTAAGTGAAGAGACCACCTCAACAACCCCTCTTCAGCCCTCTAATACTTTTAGTAACTCCACACCTCCTCCTAATTTCCACACTCTGAATTCTCTGCATAATATTTACACTACACATTGCCCTTAGACACAACATCTCCACTGCCTCCAGCCGCCTCCTCACCGCAGCATTTACTATTTATTTACTATGTATTATTCTTCTTTTCTCTAAATGACAGGTTATCTGACACCCCCACAGTCAAGCCTTTTACATGTTCCTTTTAAGTACCAAGCCAGTTGAAAATAAGCATCATAAAAATCCTGATATATTTGTACCAAGATAATATGATCCTACTACACTCACACTTAATACCATAAACTACTAATAATGCACATGTTGCATTCCTGGAAATTAGCACAAAGTAAAATAGCATTACATAAAGTGAAAAACAAATGTTGAACAACACAGTTACATTCCCATGCAAACAAATCTGCCAAACAATTTTTTTTTATTACTGTACAAAGTTCTAGTCAATGTTTATTTTTAATTTCCATGTTTACATACCTCCCAAATT